TCATCTGGGATTTATATTGAAAGTTAAAAATATAACTTTCATTTGCCGTTAATGGCTTTTAAGCTGATGCGGCGTTAAACAAATAAACGAATAGGAGGAAAAAAGTGAACGTTCCACTCGATGAATCGATAATTTCGCGATATCGGATCGCGTCTCCCTTGCCAGTGTAAAGTTTGGAAAATATTGGACGTGCCCGCTTGATAACCGTAGCGCATTTCGAACGCCATTTTCGCGTAATCACGGATTTAACAGCAATTAGTAATTCGAAATTGGGAGCGTGTAGCAACGAGTTTATTCGATCGACAGGAAATAAATAGTTTCGAGGTTGAACTGGTTAAAAATGGTACGACACGAGTGACCCCGTTAATAACGGAACACTCGTTATCCAAGCTGAATGAAGAATACGCGATATAAACGATACATCTCTTTCCGCACAAATCAGTGCACTGATTTTGACATGTTGCAACATGTTAAACTGTCAAGTATTTTAAGGAGAAGATTCCTCGATTGGAATAGCCAAACGCTCACGGTTCTTAACAAAAGGAAATTCAATTCTTTTGTTTGCTCCAATACTATTCGCAACTTCCGTAAAAATATTTTTATTTATCGCCACGTTTCGACCATTCGTTTTTGCTCTCACCGGAAGAGTAAAAATAAAATATTAACGTTTATAAATCTAAAATCGTTACGGGATAGAAAAACAAATTCGCGCGAGGCATTTACGTAACGATACATTTAACTATAAAATTTGAATACATGCGAATGCGTACGGATAAATATTCATAAAGACTCGGTAAAGCTCATGAATCGTTTCAAGTTTTAGAGAGTTACTGAAACGAGAGCAATGTGGATATTGCATTACTCGAAACAATTTCGAAGCTTCGGGGGATTTTTTCCACGGTTGCGTGCGGATACCCTGTGTTTTCGATTTACTTTTGCACGGGGAATCGTCTCTTTCTTTTATCTTTTGCATTTTAATGATTAAAAAATGGATATTTGTGGCGGGAGGATGGCGAAATTGCTTCCTAGATCACCGAGTGCGCCATCGGGCTGCGACACACATAAACGGGCGCACCAAGGGGTGGCGATACGTTAAAGGAAGGACGGACGAGTGGCAAGTTTCCGTCCACAAGAATCTCGTTCCGTACTGCGTCTCCGATTGAAACCGATAGAATCGTGTTACCTATCGCCGATTGCCTCCACTTCGTCGTCTGCATTCTATCGTAAACCGTTCAACTTCCTGTTGCCCTGCGCGCCGGTTTTTCAATTCAGATGCACGCCGGGAATTCCTCGCTCGGTGCAGAACGATTTCACTTTCGAGGCATCATCGCTCGTGAAATTCAACGTCGAAGATCGATCTCCATACGACGCTTTTTCTTTTTCTGCGTTTTCACGTTACACATCCAATTTAATTGAAGGGGCGATCCTCGAGGTTCGTGTCAACAGATATTCCACTCGCGGCGATCGTGACAAAATAAGTAAAAAATAAAACGTAATATTATTAATACAGGGATAAGTGGAGAAATTTTACGACGAAATTAAAAAATTTCAAATCATTCTGGAAAAAATATTTTTGGCTGCAGGGGTCAATTACAATCATTTTTGGTCAATAAACATACCCCCGAAATCCTACGCATTTTCGAGAAAAAAATTCAGTAGGTGCAGATATTTTTCGCCGAAATTAAAAAATATCAAATCATTCTGAAAAAATTATATTTAGTTACAGGGGTCAATTAAAACCATTTTTGATCAGTAGAAATACTCCCGAAATCCTACGCATTTTCGAGAAAAAAATTCGAGTAGGTCATGAAATTTTTCGCCGAAATTAAAACATTTTACATCGTTCTACAAAAATTATTTTTAGTTGCAGGGGTCAATTACAATCATTTTTGGTCAATAAACATACCCCCGAAATCCTACGCATTTTCGAGAAAAAAATTCAGTAGGTGCAGATATTTTTCGCCGAAATTAAAAAATTTTAAATCATTCTAAAAAAATTATTTTTAGTTTCAGGGGTAAATTACAAACATTTTTGATCAGTAGAAATACTCCCGAAATCCTACGCATTTTCGAGAAAAAAATTCGAGTAGGTCATGAAATTTTTCGAAGAAATTAAAACATCTTACATCGTTCTACAAAAATTATTTTTAGTTGTACGGGTCGATTACAATCATTTTTGGTGAATACACATACCCCCAAAATCCTACGCATTTTCTAGAAAAAAATTCCCCGAAACATGCGTTTGTTTAAAACATCATAACTCCCGAATGGATTGGAGGATTTTAATGTTTCAAAATGCAAGCAACGCGTATTTTGATGAAGAATATGTAGAAGTTCTAAGAATGTCCAAAATGTTGTTTCTTAACCCCGTAAAATGAGAAAAACCCCATAAAAATGGTCCAATTCCAATGGTCAAATAGTAAAATAACAGATATATTGATTAAATAACATGATTCGATAACGCCTGAAGCATGCTTCAAGATTCGTTAATGTTTGTCACCGTCCTTTCTCTAGAAAATCATTTCATACGCAACAACCCAATAGCATCTCTTGGGTTTCGCGCGATTATGAATCATATATCGCTCATTGTATCGTGCGGTAACGCTCGAAAAGACCACTGGGGTGGACTACGAACCGCAAGAATCTTATTTCATATTGCGTCTCCGATTAAAACGGACGAAACTGTTCGCGTATTGGTCGTCTCGACGTATTCCCGTCCCTCGTGCTCGACTTCCTGTATTTCGATTCTCGATTTCTTTCTTCGATCAACGAAATTTTCCTCTAGCAATTTTTCCTCCGCGAGGTTTCAACAACTGTCTCAAACACGAGGCGATTTCGCCCGCGGTCAGCTACGTCATTACTTCTTCCAGACTTCCTGAATTCCAGTTCGATCTGCTCTTCAGTCTAATTGCGCAACTATGTATTTCCAATGCACGTTTCGCGACTAAACATTCGTAGACGATGGGCAGGATGAAAAAAAGTAGACCGTCGTTATCGATACGCCGCGGATCGACCTCCTGAAATACATTCGTCCGTTGCTCTTGCGTCGATCGCGTTTCGAGCGGAGGCGCGTCGCGTATCGCTCTATTAAAATTCAATGGAACGAAGCGAAACGATCCTTTCGAGATCCCTAAATGACTTCGTTCCCCCTTTGTTCCGTACGAAAGTTTTGTTTCGAACTCTCGAGGGCTCGGCTCGGGCTTAATATCAGATTTTAACATCGGAATATTTTCCATTCAAGCTCGGTTACGTTTCGCGAAACCTAGTTCGAGGCCATACGAGCCGTCGTTGTTTGTGTTGCCGCGTGCGTTCCATCGACATATCTGGTTAACCGAGAAGTTGGGTTAGAGTATCTGGGTTCAGCCTAAACAGGCGATTCGACTTCCATACATGCTCGGATGTCGCGATGCTGTAAACCAGACTCGAGCGTTCGGAATAGAAACACCGATAAAAAAAACATACATTTTAACTCATTTGCACCGATACAGGTTTTACTCTCCAAATTAACCCTCTTCTAGATCATACTCACCTTTCCACAAATCAAATTTCTCCACAAATTTGTTCTGTCGAGCTGTTGTAACGGAAATAAAATTTTTTAGAAAAATTGTTCAATTTTGCTTTTTGCCGTACGTCGGAAGCAAACCTATCAAATGCAATGGCACGGAGCTTGGACGGAAAGCAACCAAAAATCGAACAATACTAATATACATAAAAAACGAGATCCATCGACGCCGAATGATGGTCGAACGAGAGTCCTCCGTTTAATTTCCGTCGATGGAAACAAAGCGCTCCAAAGTGGACGCGTTCTCTTCCCCCTCCCCTCTCTTTATTCCCCCCTTTCTCCCAGCAAAAGCATTCTGACGCTGTAATAGCCACGGATTGCGTGGGACGCGAATCTGTTTCATTGCCACTTAATCGGGCTCATCGCGGTTCTTGATCGTACGAGCCACGCTCGTATTTCCTGATTCAGCGAAATGGCGGTTGCTTTCTGTTAGACACGCAAAAAGGAATATAACAATTGCGTTCGATTCGTTCTCTCCCCTCCCGACGTTGGTGGTTGGTGCACTCGGCAGTATCGCGTGTCCGTCTTGGGGCCCATATATAGGGGCCCGTTTACTCGGCTTCTGGCTTAAACCATTCGCAGCCGCCATCGTGAGTGCATCGTCGTCTCCGGAGCAACACTCGATTCGGGGAACCCCGATAGCGATTTCTGATCCGTTCGCGTCGCGAGTGGCGGAGAATTACCATTCGAGAAGGGTTTTGCTCCCCGAGGAGGTAAAGTTTCGAGGGAAAACATGCTCGTCGCCTTCGACCAGTGATTCCACGAGAGATACAGCAGGAAGGGACAGGATAAGTCGGAGTTTCGCGTAGGATTCTGTCGTTCGGCGAGAAGCGAGCCGATTTATTGCAGAATCGTTCGTTCGCGAATAATCGTTTGGTCTTGAAAGTGGTCCGAGCAATCCGCCAGGAGACCCAGAAGAAAAGGACCAGAGTATCTGTGACTCGAACAGGGACTGGCGGTTCGAAGATCCGAGGCGAGGATTTTATTCGAAGATATACGAGACCAATGAAGCTCGAAAGATGCTCTGAATAGATGCTGTCGGTGTTGTTTCGTGCTATCTCCGTACTGTTGCCTCGTTGACTCGACCTGGTACAGTTCCGCGACGGTAATCGTGTACAAGACGTTTTATCGGTTCCGGTGCTACGTAAACGCTCGAGACTCCGCGGAGCTAGCAGTAAAACGATCGACGGGCAATTTTCTGCGCGGAAAGCTTCTAATAGCGGATCGTCGAGCTCACACGACGCCGAAGAAACGGATACGCGGGTTTCGCGTGAGGTTCAAGGGACACGCGGAAAGTCTTTTCACGCGAATATGCGGCTCGTCGAGAGACCGACGCGCCTTTTCACCGCGTCGGGATGCGTGTGCACGTTGCTGCAACTGGCTTCCATCGCGGTACTCGTATTCGGTGGATTCGATCATCACCACGCTGGGTTTACAGGTATACACAAGTGCACCGAGACGGAGTTCAAGTGCACGAACGGCAAGTGTATACCCGGAAGGTGGCATTGCGACGGCGACCCGGACTGTCCTGACAGGTCGGACGAGGATCCAACAGTTTGCAGTAAGTTCCATTTTATTTAGTACCTTTTTCGCGTTTAAACGATGGTTCTCTTTCAGTAGCTATTTACTTGGGCAAAATGTCTTCTATTCATTTTCTTTTGTTATCTTTTAAGTATTTGGAATGTAATAATTAGACTGCGGATGTATATGCATATTAATTCTAACAAAAAGCTACAGAATGCACTTAACGTGGGAAAATATAAGAAATACTTGAAGTAAGATACGAATTATTATATTAAGTGAGACAACCCTCTACAAAGCTCCTATTCGTTAATTCTATTAATAAGAATATGAATTTGCACAAAGAACCGCAGTCTAGTGTACACTCTGCTAACAAACGTATCGTTGAGAAAAGAAACAATACGTTTTGTTGATAGTGTAAACATAAGCTGCTGAGATATAGAACGTTGCCTAATACCCAACATGATCAGTGTACAGGCCTTTTACGGAAGCAGCAATTATGTGAGCACGTATGTACAGGGTGGACCAATAACGTTGTTCACCTTGAGTATCCCCATTATTTCTAAAGATAGTTTAAATTCCTTTCGAAGAAATGAAAGGAGCTTTTGTCCAACGCAATAGCCTCTAATACTGTTGTTCTCTTTCTACGATGTTTCGTGGAAATCAGACTTTATTTGGGCATAGTTAATTACATTCGAAGGGGCAGGGGATTAATAATTCTGACTAATAGGACTTGGATTCCTTTCGGGACAGTCAACTTCCATCAGTGCAAATCACGATCTGCACGGTTTATGAGAATCGATGCGTTGCTTTACAGTCGTTTACTGATCCCGAATGATTTTCACTTACTTATACAGAGTGAACAGTTGATACTGGTTCTCGAGGCTTCCGGATCTGAGCCAGTGTGTGCGATCTTGCACAGTGGAAAAGAGGTTCTTTCGCTTCATCTCGTCATACTTTAACTTAATATGGCGTTACTAGTTGGCTGGAATACCAACACGTTTACTGTACGCTTATCTGTTACTGTCTAACGTCTATACAAGTTTTGCACTTCGTATCCTATTGACATTAAAAACTAAAATTATAAAATAAATGCACGTGACGCAAATACATCTTACAAATAGATTTCTCATGGTGCCCTAAGTAGAACTAAGTTATCATTTTCAATAACTTGCAATAAAGATTAAAAGATTCTGTAACAGTCGTCGACGTAACTTTTGCCCAGCTAGATTAACAATCCATCATACTGCGCTCTGACACTTGCAAGAAGTTTGAAAACAAGCTCAGATCTGTTCAGAGCCTTGATTAAACAAGTTGTAATATTGGCAAGGAAAGGCTGCAAATTCGGAAGCCTCAAACGGAATTATTTACCAGGATTTGCTTTAAAGGTATAATCGGATTTTCTTCTAACGAAGGGAGTCTACGATCCGAAACAAAGCTTTTGGTTCGTTATTTCTAGTACAACCGACGAGGGGGTGATTCTTCGTAGAAAAACAAGTCGAAAAGAAGGAATGAAGTTTCTTCATACCGAAGCTTCGTTTTCAAGAAAATCGAGTTGGAAAATATACGGGATCACGTGTACTTACAGTGTTCGGTATAAGTAGAAAAAGTGAGTAATGAACAGACGCGCCAGCCAAATCGTATTCGATCGTACACGTACACGGGAAATTTTCAAATATTTTAAATTATAAAAATTTGTTTTTCCACGAGGAATCGCTCCCCCTAAAACATTAACGCTAGTTGAAAGTCGTTGATTATACTTTCTTTATCAAAATGACTGATCGCACAATGTGTTCTTACTCATCAGTCTTGCAACTTATCGTAACGATAGCTATTGAAACTGGTTCGCGTTCATTTCTATGCAAATTCGAGCAAGTTTGTCTCACGATTTTTCGAATAATCTCACGACTATATTTATCCATTCTTGAGCGATCGTTCGGAATCAAATTATGCTCGTTTTTTCCAAAGAACGTTAACGCGCGCGTTTAGAATTTTGAAACGCCCCCGCTGGAAAAGAATAAACGAAACCGAAAGAGAACAACAGAGGTAAAAGTTCAGCAACTCTTCGCGCTCGAAGTTGCCATAATTTCATCCGCCGAGCGGGCGAGGAGATTTAATTCTCAATATCGTAACCGAATAAAACGCACGAGCGCCAAGAGTTACTGCAACAATAGCGTCGTTTTATTTTTCATAAAGCATGTCGTAAACCGATTCGAAGCCTTGCGCGCGCAAGGAAGAAACGATATCTCGTAAACGGTTCGTTTGTTACGTTTAACGACTAAATTATTTGCTCGTGGGGGAGGTGTGGGGTGGGAGGGGAGGGGGGCAGGGTAAATCGCAGGCAGCAAACAGAATTATTTCGTTTCGGGACCGTTCGCGCGTATTTTATTTAAAACGGCCGCGCGAAACGTTAATCGACGCCTTTCTCTGTAACTGCTCCGGTTTCGCGCGCGCGAACGAACAAACCCCCGGCGCGATCGTGATCGTGATCGTGATCCAGCGAGCATGATATAATTCTTATCGCGATACGCATTGTTATTTTTCAGAGGTAAATTGTAACGCGATATCGCGTTAATAACTAACGATGCGCCGTGCGTCATTTCGATTTCGACGCGAAATCCAGAATTAATATTCATGCGCGCGTGTTTCGGTCGCGCGGGCGGGCACACGTTCGGTAATTAATATTCAATTATAATGGGCTCGCATGTAAATACGGGGAGCAGCGCTCCGCCGCTGATTGCTTTCGCGTTTTGCTAATTGTTCGGTACGATCGTCGCTCGGTAACGATTATTTACAACTTTCCGGCCAATTAGGCCCCTCGAAACTGGTTTCGCGACGTTCATCGACGACCGAAACTTTGGAAACGGTACTTCTTTCGATTGGCCGGTCCTCGAATAATCGGCTCGAAAATGCAATAGTTCGTATCAAACATTTGGAATCGTATTATACTTGTTACGAGGAGAACGCAAGAACGCGTTTTTTGAGAATCCATTTATCAAGATGGCTGCGTAAGGAACTCAATACGTTTTCAGTTATTTGTAATTAATGTTTCATCATCGTTCGCAGTTTACTTAGGCGTTGTATGTAGCGCTTGGAAAAGTTGTGAAAATATTTGTTTCAAACCGTTGTATAAGTTCTGGTTGAAAATATGAAGAACTTTTGTTTTGAATAACTTGTGAAAAACTTAACGTTCAAACTTATATCGGTTTTATACTTGTTTACTTTGTTTAGTCGTTCGAAAATTCGAATATTTTTTTATAAATTTTGTATTACTGTACACCATCGGAAACTTTTTGCCAAGGGTTGCGTAAAGGATATAAATGGACGCGAAGGGGTTCCTATAATAAATGGCCGTCGTAAACTCTGGATTTCCTCTTGTGTCGAACGTTTATGGGAATCGGATTAACGAGTAAACAAGGAACAATCACATAGTAAGATATAATTGAATATTTATTAGAACCCATGTGTATAGTTTCTACAGAGATATTACTAGAAAGAATGCCATAAATTGTTGAACAACAAGACGTGCGGAAGAATATATTGATTAAATTTATTATTATAGTTTGTTACGATGGTGTACAGCGAATCGTGAAAGTATTTTAACGCTTACAAATAAGAGATTTTTTAAATATGTTTTTTGATCATATTTACAGTTACATATTATCGGTCAATATTGTATTAGCAATCAGTCGTTTAATTACTTTTGTAATATTCATGTACACTCGTGTTTATAATTAATAACTTCATAATTGCTTCATGGGATGACGTATTTTCTGCAAATTCTGCCGAAGTAACTTTGACAACTTTATCCCCAGCCAACAATATTTTGAAAATTGTAATGTAACTGGTGTTTACCTCTCGTCACAGTTTCTGCCTAAAATTATTCGAACGTGTCACGAAGTAAATGTGATGAAACATTAATTTCTCGAACTACTACATCTTCCATTCATTCTATCTAGTCTCTTATTATTTCGTATAAGCATTGATTTATTTATACAAATGCTACAATTACATTTCTTTTCTTAAGATTCACGAAATTAGAAAATATCGACGGAGCTAAATGTAATTTTAATATAAAGACTCGAATCTTGAAATCGAAACGTATAAATAAATTAATGTTTGCTTATGGAACTGCAATGCTTTGATCTTGAATTAATGTCGTGCCATGCGAATATCGACCAATGGATATTAAATGTGCCAATTAATAATAAAGCGAGCGTTGGTCGGTTGATAACGTGTGCATATCTCGTATAAAATTTATGTCGCGCGCGTGGGGACAAACAGGCAAACGAAATATCTCGTGTTGATTTTGGGAAGACGATCGCGCGACTCGAAGCGATCCACGATCGACCTGTGCAAAAGCGATTCTCTTGCAGACACAGGTATGTGAAAGTGCAACTTTTCGGACCGGTTTCATGCAGGCGAGACAGATTGATGCACGAACGAAAGCTACCGTTAGTTTTGCGACGATCTGGACCACTTCCGGCTGTTCTTCTCTTGTTCGACTTCAGTCAGAATCCCATGAAGTTTCGTTGACCCTTTTAAACATTTTTTTCTGGCGACAAAGACTCGTGTAACGCTGGGTCGAGCCCTTAAAAAACATTACTCTCAAACGCTACCGCAGTTATTTATTTATACTAAATATTATAAATTAAATTAATTTTCTATCTTAGTTTTAATACTTTTTGTTACAAGTTTTAACCATTCGAAGCGAGAAAATTTGATTTGTTCAAAAATAATAACAGAAAATTCTACCTCAATGTTGCCAGTTTATTTATGATACGTTTGAATTGTATTTTTGATATTTTAATTTTTATACCATAGAAATGTATATTTATTTTTAAAAATTTGCAATTTAGCGAATTGTATTTTCACAAGAGCTCGTATTATCGTGTTGTTGAGTACGTTCTATCGATTTTGGATTTGAATAAAACACAATGTCTGTCGAAATAGAGAAGTGTCATTCGTCTATACTTTCGGAAATGTGGTATAAAAGTTGAACAAAAATTAGCTTCCTCAGAAATATTACAATTTATTACG